CAGCATTACTAAAGGACATATCACCCAAAGAAAAACTAACAAAAAAGAGGTTGCCCATTTCTTGTTGTGGGAACTGTTGGGTGACCATAAAAAGAAATTTCTAGATAGGTCTTCTGTAACTAAGAAGACAATATCAGGGCTGGAGAGACGGCTCATTGGTTAAGAGCACTCACTGTTCTAGAGGACTGGGGTTCAGTTCCCAGCACCTACATGGCAGCTCACAACTGTCTGTGACTCCAGTTCTAGAGGATCCAACAAACTCACACAGACATATATTAAGGCAAAAAAATAAAACAAACCCAAATGCATATAAAATAAATTATAACAAAGTTCCTTGGTGGCACATGCCTTTAATCCCAGCACTCGGGAGGCAGAGGCAGGCGGATCTCTGTGAGTTTGAGGCCAGCCTGGTCTACAGAGCGAGTGCCAGAAGCTACACAGAGAAACCCTGTCTCAAAAAACCAAAGGAAAAAAAAGTTGCCAATTACATAGTCAACAAAATAAGCTTACAAAAAAAAAAAAAAGGGACACTATCCCAGCCATGTCCGGGTACTGGGAAGGCAGTAAGAGCTTTCCAGGTTCGAGGCCAGCCTGTTGTAAAAAAACGAGTTCCAGGACAGCCAGAAACTGTTTCAAAACGGGAGGTGGGGGTGGGAGAGGGCATCCAAATCACAAGCTTATTTTTTAGTATCTGATGTGCCCCCCAAAGGACCTCAGCCGACACCAGAATAAGTCAGTAAGAGATTCTAAGTTAATAAACTCAGAACGGAGATCAGTTGTGAGGACAGGATACAGCGGACACTGATAAAGCAGCTCCCTCGCTTGCGTCTGAGATGTCTCATTATGTCTATCCTTTACAAGAAAATTACGTAGTGCTTAACAGCCGACTTCTGGCTCGCTTTGCTCACTCACTACAAAGACTGGTCCCTACATACCTCTTCTGGGAAGCCTTTAACGACGGCCCCTTAAAGAGGAGCTGCTGCGTATGCACAGCTGCAGCAAATGGCAGGCACATTTTTTTTTGAGACACCAGAGACAGGTGAATTAAAAAGCAAAACAAAACTACACGTTAAGAGACAGGGGGAGGGGGGTCCTCTCTTAATGAAGAGTTTACATAATGTGTCAGAAAACCTGCAGACCTGTCAAAAGAAGACACAAGACTTGAGCGGTTTCCCCACCATCTCTACTTTGCGACAGCCCCACCGCAATCGGGGACGTAACAAATCTCCACACGCTCATCCCATGCTTTTCTACCCACATTTACTGAAACACAGAAAAGATGGGGGGAAGAGAGGAGAGAGAGAGAGAGAGAGAGAGAGAGAGAGAGAGAGGGAAAAAAGCAGCCAAACAAAATAAAACCCTAGCCACACACTTCTGAGTCCAAAGTATGGAGTCACCAAACCGAGCAGGGGAGTTTTTCTTCCTGTGGAGGAGGAAGAAGAACAAGGCAGCTGCCTCGAACGTGCGCCTCGCCCAGCAGTGCAATGTCAAGCTCCAAAACTCCACGGTAGCCCCGGCAGCTCCCTCGCGGCCCGTCCCAGCACGTCCCCGCGGCCCGCACCGTCCCCAGCGCCGGCCTCTCACAAAGGAGAGTGGTTCAGTCCCGAGCATCCCCGCACCTGATCGCTCGCAAGTGCACCCGCCTGGGTGGGAGCGAGGACGTGTTACCCCACCCACTACCGGCCCAGGCTCCGCCGAGGCTTGGTGGAGGCGCGCGTGCCGCAGGCTTACCTGAGTCAGTCCTGCAGCTAGCTTCCTTCCCCCGGCGGAGTTGCAAGCCACCGTCCGGGAGAACAAGGCGCCTTCCGGCGGAGCACGGCCAGCCCTCGCTGCAAGCAAGCTTGCTAGTCCTCCGTGCCCCTGGGCCCGCCCACCGTCCTCCACCCACCAATGGCAGGGCCGGAACGGAGAGCCATCCAGGAAGTCTCTGCAGGGTGGGCGGGCCGGAGGCTGAGAAGGGTACGTAGGCAACCGCAGATATGCCTGATTGGAAATAGGCATATCTGGAAATAAGCGGACGGGACTGGCCTCTGACCCCAACCGCTGGGGGCGCTCCAAACCAGGATAGCACCTGCTACCTGTCTCGGGAGGACATCTTGCGTCGACTGGCTCCCTGAACGTCTATTATTACTTTTAAGCCCTTTTTGGAGTCTGTTGGTCCAGCTCCAACTTACTCTCCCATCACATATTCAGGACACCTATTTGTCAGGGTGAGGAACTCCGGATATAATGTTGAAAGTGAGTGGAAGCAAGCCCGACTATCCTCTCACTTAAATGTAGGAATGCTGCTGTTTCATCAGAGAAGTCCGCAATCAAGTTTTTCGAATGACCCATCTGTGACCAATTTCTGGGGTTATCCTTTATAAACAGGACTATCAACAGACAATGGACCCAGGTTATATAGTCATTGTACATAAGCTTACCTATGCATCCGTTACAGATTGTTGTTTTTTGAGACAGGGTCTTGGTGTATGGCCCTGACTGGTCTGGAACTTGCTATGTAGACCAGAAGGGCCTCAAAACCAGAGATCTTCCCGCTGAGTACTGGAATTTAAGATATGCGCCACCAAGCCACGGCCCCCTGCTTAGATGTTAGCAACACAAAATGCTTAGTTATTTAGTAATAATAGTGGTAAGGAATTCCACTTAAAAAATAAAAGACCGGCCGGGCTGTGGTGACCCACGCCTTTAATCCCAGCACTCGGGAGGCAGAGGCAGGAGGATCTCTATGAGTTTGAGAACAGCCTGGTCTACAAGAGTTAGTTTCAGGACAGGCTCCAAAGCCACAGAGAAGCCCTGTCTTGAAACCCCCCCCCCCCCAAAAAAAAAAAAAAAAGACCAGGTTGGAAATGGTTCAGCGATTAAGAGATTAAGAGCACTGACTGCTCTTCCAGGGGTCCTGAGTACAATTCCTAGCCACCACGTGGTGGCTCACAATCATTTATAATGAGATTTGGTGCCCTCTTCTGGCTAGCATACAGGAAGAACACTATACATAATAAATCTTTTAAAAAAACAAAACAAAAACCCCCTAAACCAGCTGAGCAGTGGTGGCGCACACCTTTAATCCCAGCACTTGGGAGACAGAGGCAGATAGGTCTCTGTGAGTTCGAGACCAGCCTGGTTCACAAGAGCTAGTTCCAGGACAGCCTCCAAAACCACAGAGAAACCCTTACCTTGAACCCCACCCCCAAAAAGTACTCATTTCTATTACATTTTTAATTATGTGTGTATATGTGTGCACGAGGGCTGGTGCTGCAGAGGGCAGAGGTGTGGGATCCCCTTGGAGCTAGAGTTACAGGGAGCTATGCGCCAACCAACATGTTTGACACGGTCGTCTGAAGCGGTACAAGCTCAACCACTGAACCATCTCTCCAGCCTCCGAGTCTTTTCAATTATTAAAGGAATTTTCCAAACAGTAACATAATTAAATGGGCATACGTTAAGAAATCGAGTCACAGCCGGGCTGTGGTGGCACACACCTTTAATCCCAGAACTCTGTAGGCAGAGGCAGGTGGATCTCTGTGAGTTTGAGGCCAGCCTGGTATACAGAGCTAGTTCAAGGACAGTCAAGACTATACACACAAACAATGTCTCAAAAAACCAAACCAAAACAACAAGAAAACCCAAAAATCATGTTATATTTTATGACAAAATAATACCTGATTACTAATTCTCCTGTATACTGAATATCTTTTGCCAAATTCTTTCCTAGTTCTAAATACTACTGTATACATCTGAGGTATTAGGATTTATGAGAATAACGTTTGTGTAATGGTGTTTTTGTAAATAGCATTTGTGCAAATGCAAAGAGGCATAATTTTAATTATTAATGGTTTCTTTAGTAAGAGCCTAGTTATTTTCTGGTACAGAATACAAGACCAACCAACAAAGGAAGTCATTATAAGCTTCATAAAAAGGGGGAAAGTGTCTGATCCAATGATTTCTGCTAATTATACTGATTTGTTGCTATAAATTACATGATTTCCAGTGTTCATGGTTTCAAAAGCCAACTGACACCCAGAATGTCTCATAATTACCATTCAGCACATGGGGGTGGGAAGATATTTCTGTATTCATTCATGACCACTTGACTCAGGTCATGAATTTATAGTCACATTATTTTCTGTTTCCTTTCAAAATGGCAAAAATACCTAGCACAGAAGGTTATAAAATATAATAGAATTGGATGTGGGAATTAGTTTTTTTCCCCTTTTCTAACTAATAATATCAGACTGGTTCCCTTTCATTACACTGAAAATAACAGCTGCAGGGAAAACACTGTCTTCGGCCAATTCTCTAATCCTTGTGAATTGTTTAAAAAATTGTGGACAGTAAAGAAAAACTTTTCAATAGCAACTACAACATTGATGGATGTGCTGGCACATTCAGTACTCAGGAGGCTAATACAGGAGGATCAGGAGATCTAGGACAGCCTGAGCTACATAGTTTAATTTAAAAAGAAGAGGAGAGATCAGGCATTGGTGGCACACGCCTTTAATCCCAGCACTCAGGAGGTAGAGGCAGGCGGATCTCTGTGAGTTCGAGACCAGCCTGGTCTCCAGATCGAGTGCCAGGATAGGCTCCAAAGCTACACAGAGAAACCCTGTCTTGAAAAACCAAAAAAAAAAAAAAAAAAAAAAAAAAAAAAAAAAAAAAGAGGAGAGAGAAAGGGGATGAAAAAAGAAAAGTAGTAAATTATTATATACTTTAGTTTTTGTGCCTGGTAAGGAAATAGGCTAAATGCAAATTCAACAGCTCCAACCTTTTGGGAATGAGTAGGGTTAAAAAGCAAAACACCAAAAGCGTAATCACTTCATTGCCCACATGTGGTCTTCTAAGTTCCTGTGATGTAATGCTGACTTTACTGCTACTACCAGGGATAGAATTCGGTATAAACCAATTCTAGGAAGGAGATATGTCTGATACAATACGCTAGGAGGAGATTATTTTTTTACACTTTGGGTAGAATCAGAAATGACACATGAGATAGAAGCAGCTTGGATCATGCATATATTTAATAGTAAAACAGTCATTAACAATACAATTTAGAAAATTTGGTGAGACCTCAGTGCTGTGAAAGAAAATGAGACAAGTAAAAAAGACAGCAACTGTCCCAGAAAGTGGTGTGATGGGTGAAGCAGAGGCAAACTGGGCTAAAATAGTATTATATATTCTAAGGATCGGGTGAAGAAGTATCTACTCATTTGAGTCTTGGTAGCAGGCATTCTTACTGTATGCTGCACAGAATGGAGGCAGTAAGTTACGGCGAAGCAGGAGAGAAGAGCAATAGAGAACCAGGATAAGCAGATGGGGGAAACTGAGAAACAATTACAAAGACATGACTCTAAGGCCTTTTGTTTCTTCTAAAGTCTAAAGCCTTAAGTTTTAAATTATGTCACTCAAATTCAAGATCATGAGTTGTACAGGGTACAGTAAAGAATAGTGTGATGAAATGGAAATGACATGGACCCTGCTCTCATAGAGCTTACATCCTATATGATACATACACCCACCCACCCCACACAGAAAAAGCCCTACAAAACATATTTACAAAGTAAAACACATACAGATAAATAACACATATGAATAACCAAGATAGGAATGCTAAGAGATACTGTGTTAGTAATTTCTTAGAACTCCTTAGGTTTACACTGAGGATTTCCTAAAAGGAAAAAAAAAAAAAAAGCCAGTATAATGTTAGAGGGTAGAGCATGTGCAAAGGTATAGAAGATGGAATAAATATGTCATATTCAGTGAGACAATTAGCTTGATTAGAGCAAAAGTCTAATAGATCTGGTTAGAAGTATGCCTAGCTACCTGGAAATCTGAGGCATCAGGATTCCAAATTTAAGGCCTGCAAGTTCAAGGCTAGCCTAGGCAACTTGCCTCAAAACAAAAAGTAAAAGATAAGTATAACTCAGTGGTATAGCACTTACTTAGCATGCTTAAGAACCTAAATGTCATGTCTAGCTTTCTAGCACACCCTTCCAAACACACAGACACACACACACACACACACACACACACACACACACACACACACTCACTCACAAGTCAAAACAAAGAATGAGGCAAAAATATGATGAAACAGTAGAGATCAATTTGGTGAAAGAAACTGTAATGCCAGAATTGGTCCCCTGCACAAAATGAAAAATTAACATTTTCTTAGATAAATGATGTGGCTACAGGTCCAATACCAACTCTGCTGCTCTCAAAGTTCTGTTAAAAAACAGGAACTGGCAATGAGAAAGGCCAGCTAGCCTCACCTAATCATGGAGCTCCAGGTTCCTGTGAGAGATGCTCTCTCAAAAACCAAGGTGGTGGGCTCCTGAGGAATGATATTTAAGGGTATATATGTACACAATAAATAACAAGAAACTAGGAATGAGACAGTACAGAGGTGCCCAGCTTCTATAGGAACTCCTATGAAATGACAAGCAGGTTTCCAAGGCAAGGAAATAAATTCAATGAAATTACTATGTACAGGGATATCACCTAAGTTATACAGATTCATAGTCCTAAATGTTCAATCAGAACATCCTTCACTCTAGCTACTAAAAATTAGGTGAGGAACAGATGTATGTATTTTTTTTCCTTTCTCTCTTACTACTTTTTGGCTTTTTGAGTCAGGATCATACTATATGCCATGGATGGCATGGTAATACTTATGTAGCCCAGACTGACTTCTAAGCTCCTGGCGATCCTCCTGCCAAAAATCCTGAGTGCTGGAATTATAGTTATGTGCCACCACACCTAACAAACAGATGTAGATACTTAGTAAGTTGTTTATTTTTTAATTACTGTGACAATCAACTTTGATCCTAACATTTTAGAATTCAGAGCCCTGATCTATATGGAATATTCATGTCCCTAATGGCGGACAGGTTAGTAAGGGCCCGGTTTTCTCCTGGTGTTTGAAGTGAAGGGTGAAGCATCGCACATTGAAAAGAGGCTGCTCTCAGCCAAAGCAAGTAAGACCTCTTTCTTTAAGCTGATTGATCTGAAGCTGTTCCAGGAGGGGAAAAAAAAAGTTCAGGCCAGATGTTCAGCAGCAGCCAGAGTCAGGCCCTACATCACAAGAGTTCCGCTGAGATGAATTTGGTCCCGCTGATGTTGAAATTGACTGTTGGGGCCCAATCTTGATGCCATTAGCCTGCAAAAGAAAAAGGAACGACTCCTACATCAGTGCTGAAGTGAGTGACGGGAAGGACAGGAATAAAGGAATAGCTAAATTCTAAGAATCTTGTTCTCTAGCCAAACATTTGTGGAAGGATGACTGGTTGTGATGGGATGTGACTAAAGGTGGCTTTGTGCATGCTTTCAAGGTGCATTGCTGCACATGAATTTTATAGCTATGTGCAGAATTAAGATGTGATTGGGCAAGAGTAAGAACTAAGGGGACTGAGGAGATAGCTGAGCACGGAGAGTACTTGCCAAGAAAGCCTGAGGGACATAGTTTAGGTTTTTAGAAACCATCTCAGAGCCAGATGGGCATGGCATTGCACCTTCAGTCCTAGTCCTTGTGAGGCAGAGATAGGGAATCGCTGCGGCAAACTGGCTAACCAGACTAGTCTAAATAGTGAGCTCTGGGTTCGGTGAGAGACCCTGCCTCAATACCTAAGGTGAGCAGTGATGGTGAAAGTACCTGCTGTCAACTTTAGGGCTCCACACATGTGAACATGCATATATTTATGTGCACACCACATAACACATACGTATGCCAAAAACACTTAGAGTAAGTGAGGCAAAGAACAGAAGTGGCAGACTAGTATATGATTTTTTTTTGTTGTTGTTGTTCTATCCCAGTGTTTTCCCTCCTAAGCAATTAAGAATTATCTCTCTCTCATATTCTGGAATAGTAAGAAACTGAAGTCAAGAAGAAAAAAAACTCCTATTATGTAAGTCTGTGGACCACTAGCTTATCTTTTCCTGCATTATGAGGCTCAGACATGAGAGGAAACAGAACCTGATGATGGGTTCTTAGACACCTGCACTTAAAAAAAGAAAGAAGTTTGAGCTGGCAGTTGTGATTAGTGTGACATCAGGCAGGAATACTGACATGATAGGGAGCTTCTATCAAGGTGACTGCCAGTCCCAACCCCAACCCTTCTTCTCACCTCATTATGGACATCAAATAAGCCCTGCTGGATCTTCCTATATATTTCTTTGGCTGTGTTAATGAAGGCCTGAGGGAGACATAAATCATTTATTACTCTTAAATTTAAGTAGAGAGATGAGAAAAATACATACAAGTGTGAGGCAAACCTGGTCTACACAGTAAGATCCAGATCAGCCAGGGCTACTCAGAGACACTCTATCTCAAATTAACTAACTAAAACCTTAGAATAATTAAGAAACACTAGAAAGAAGTAATAAAAAAAATTCATCTAAGCATGATGGTAGTATATGCTTTTAATCCCAGCATTATAGAGGCAGAAGGCAGGTGGGTCTCTATGATTTTGAGGCCAGCCTGGTCTACATAGCAAGTTCTAGGCCGGCCAGCCAAGGTTATGTAGATCCTGTCTAAAAAAAAAAAAAAAAAAAACCAGCTAGGCTATGGTGGCACACACCTTTAATCCCAGTGCCAAAAAGGCTGAGGCAGACATATCTCTGAGGTTGAGGATAGCCTGGCCTACAGAGAGTGTTGCAAGATAGCCAGGGGCATACAGAGAAACCCTGTCTCAAAATGAAACAAACAAAAAAGGATAATTTCCACAAGTGTTCTTGTAAAAGCCAGTGACTAGATATAGTGATATGCACCTGTCATCATCCCATTACTCCAGGGACTAAAGCAGGAGGATTGCAAATTTGAGGCCAGTTTGAGCTACACAGCAAGTTTTGGGGTTAGTATGGCATGACCATATCTAAAGAAACAAAACCATGGGGCTGGAGAGATGGCTCAGAGGTTAAGAGCACCGACTGCTCTTCCAGAGGTCCTGAGTTCAATTCCCAGCAACCACATGGTGGCTCACAACCATCCGTTATAAGATCTGGTGCCCTCTTCTGGTGTGCAGATGTACATGGAAGCAGAATGTTTTATACATAATAAATAAATAAAATCTTAAAAACAAACAAAAACGAAAACAAAACCACCACCACAATAACAGTTTTAAAAAAGTAATCTTACTGTATTCAGGTACTGATGTTTCTAGGTTATAGATTGGCAGCCATTGCAAATAAAACAAATACACTCAGCCAGGCAATGCAGTCAACACCTGGTGTCACAATGAGTACAGTTTCTGTCAGATTCCCAACTGAACTGATTTATAAATAACAGTGGTATCTAATCCTCAATAATGTTATCCAAGGCAAAAATAAATCCTTAGGAATTGGGTAAAGAAAATGGGACAATTCCCCTAGAAGGAGACATCCAGTCACTCTGATCACAATGCATTTTTTGTTTACTCATGTCCCCTGGAGAAGAGGATTCTGAAGAATACAACAGCAGTACAACCTCTGAGCCGCTCTCCCCACTTTCTCTGTAGTGATACCTCTTCAACATTGCAGGCTGTCTTGGCTGATGTTTCCATGAATATAAGGCCATGCTCCCGAGCAAAGGCCTCTCCTTCCTCTCTTTTCACATCCCTTCGGGATTCTAGATCACTGTAAGAGAGCAATTAGGGAGAAAACTTTAAAGATTTCAGAGGAGGGGGTGACCATAGTTCTAAAAGGATCCCACCACAGTTTAAAACTGCCAATTAATGCTTGAAACGTGTGAACACTGCAGGATGATCTTGTATAGGCTTATTACTTCTATGATTCACATTCATAATAGCTTCTTCAGGGCTGAAGATAATACTGTTACAAAGAACAGGCTTACACAGAAGTGAGCAAACCTCAGTCACTCCAGGTACCCTATGCTTTTTGTTCGGGTTTTTTTTTTTTTTTATTGTTTTATTTTGTTTTTCAAGACAGGATTTCTCTGTGTAGCTTAGGAGCCTGTCCTGGAACTCTCTGTAGACCAGGCTGGCCTTGAATTCAGAGAGACCCGCCTGCTTCTTCCTCCCAAGCACTGGGTTTAAAGGTGTTCGCCACCACTGCATAGCTGGTTTTTGTTTTTTATTTTGAGACAGGGTTTTCTCTATGTAGCCCTGGCTGTCCTGGAACTCACTCTGTAGACCAGGCTTGCCTGGAACTCACTGAAATCTACCTAACTCTGCCTCCTGAGTGCTGGTGTTTACTACCCTTCTCCTACCCCTGGCTGCCCTGTAACTTTTCAGGTGGGATCTTGGACAGCACAGTAGAGATGGTAAAGGGAGGTGCTATTTAGTAGAAGGCTCAAATCTAAGGACTTCTCATCCTGTAGTGATGGATTCTTTTCCTAAAATGAGAGACGTGAGAGACTGAGCCAGGAATAACTCTTACTGGTCTCATTTCTAGTGTGTATAAGAGACTTAGCACTTCTGAATTAGAGAAATTGATAAGGATACAATTTAGGTGAAATGGGGGAAAGAAGAGCCAAAATCAGAAATGGAGAAAAGTAGCATGGAAAGGCCATGAAAACCTGAATAAGAAGCTGGTGAAAACAGTAAGATTGACCTGGCTTTTGTTTTTCAAATGAGAAATTTTGTGTAAGTGAGTCTAGGGGTTTTTTTGTGTTGCTGTTTTTGGTTGTTTTTGTTTTGTTTTTTCGAGACAGGGTTTCTCTGTGGAGGCTGTCCTGGAACTAGCTCTTGTAGACCAGGCTGGTCTGGAACTCACAGAGATCAGCCTGCCTTCCCCAGTGCTGGGACTAAAGGCATGCACCACCACCGCCGCCGGGAGAGAATCTAGTTTCTTTAATCATAAAAAAAATAAGAAGTCCATGGCATTAATTAGAATTACTATTGAGCCAAGCGGTGATGGAAAGGGTTTATTCGGCTTATGCTTCCATATCACACTTTATCATCAAAAAAGGAAGTCAGGACAGGAATCAAGTAGGGCAGGAACCTGGAGGAAGGAGCTGATGCAGAGGCCAAGGAGGGGTGCTGCTCACTGGCTTGCTCCCTATGGCTTGCCCATCCTGTTTTCTTACAGAATCCAGAACCACCAGCCCAGGGGTGGCCTCGCTCACAATAGGCTGGACCCATCCCCCATCAATCACTAATTAAGAGAATGACCTACATACAGGCTTGCCTGCAGACCATTCTTACAGACCATTTAAATGGTCTTACAGACCATTTAAAACAAATGAGGCTCCCTTTTTGATGGACTCTGGATCAGTGGTTCGCAACATCTTGATGCTACAACAGTTCATGTTTTGGTGACCCCCTTAATAAAATTATTCTCATTGCTACTTCATAACTGTAATTTTGCTACTGTTAGGAAATTGTAAAATACATATTTTTGGAACAGAGGTTTGCCAAAGGGATTGTGACCCACAGGTTGGGAACCAATGCACTAGCTTGTGTCAAGTTGACATAAAACTAGCCAGTACATCTACTAAAGAACATCAAATCAACAAAAGGTATCCCAAACTTAACACATAAAAATGCAGCTTCTGCCTCCTATTCCTTTGCAACTATGTCTGTCCTGGCTTCCACACTCCATAAATGGCACAAGACAAAAAGACAAGGTGTTCAAACATCTGTAATCCTAGCGCTTGGGGGAGGGGGGGTGGACACAGAAGGGTTGTGACTCAAGGCCAGCCTGGCTACACAGTGAGACTCTGTTTTAAAACTGAAAATAAAGCTGGGTGTGGTGGCACCTGCCATTAATTCAAGCACTCAGGAAGCAGATGCAGGTAGATCTCTGTGAGTTCTAGGGCATTTTGGTCTATAGAGCAAATCCCAGGCCAAAAATAAAATAATGATAATAGGAATAATAATTTTCAAAATCAGTATGTAGCAGGAAATCAGAGTGGAAGAATCTATTGCTGACTCCCACGCTTTACTATGCCCAAAAGACACAGATATGCAGGGAAGTAGCAACTATTGTATTTAAAAACAGAACTTTGCTTTTGGTTTGTTTGCTTCTGTTTTTCAAGATAGGGTTTCTTTGTGTAGCGTTGGCTGTCCAGGAACTCTCTCTATATACCAGGCTGGCTTTTAACTCAGGGATCAACTTGTCTCTGCCTCCCAAATATGGGGTTATGGTATATACATCATCACCACCACCAAGTAAGAATGGGATTTTTTTATAAAAAGAAATATAAACAATTTTAATTTATCCTCACAACTTTTCAAATAGTTATTATATTATTATTTAGGATCCCAAATGTAGTTCTGTTGGTAGAATGCTTGATTAATATGCACAAAGAACTGGGTTCAATCCTAGCACTAAGAAGATAAAAGCAGAAGGATTAGAAGATCAAGTTTATCCTCAGCTAGACAGTGTTTTCAAGGTCAGCCTGAAACACCTGAAGCTCTGTCTCCAAAGAAGTATGTTATTTTCTTTATTAAAATTTTTATATAAATTAAAAACTATCTTATTTTACATACCAATCCCAGTTCCCTCTCCCTTCCATTCCCCCCACCAACCCTCCATTCCATCCCCATCCACTCCTCAGGGAGGGTGAGCCTCCCATGGGGAATCATCAAAGTCTGTCAAGTTAGATGGGCGATGGTGGCGAGGGCCTTTAATCCCAGCACTCTCGGAGGCAGAGGCAGACGGATCTCTGTGAGTTCCAGGCCAGACTGGTCTCCAGAGTGAGTGCCAGGACAGGCTCCAAAGCTACAGAGAAACCCTGTCTCGAAAAACCAAAAAAAAAAAAGTCTGTCAAGTTGAGAGAGTATCCCTCTATGGGGAATGGGCTTGAAAAGCCCATTTGTGCACTAGGGATAAATCCTGGTTCCACTGCCAGAGGCCCCATAGACTGCTTAGGCCCTCCAACTGACACCCACGCTCAGGGGGTCTGGTTTGGTCCTATGCTGGTTTCCTAGAGTCAGACTAGAGTCCATGAGCTGAAGTATGTTATTTATTTTCTTTCTTTCTTTCTTTCTTTCTTTCTTTCTTTCTTTCTTTCTTCCTTTCTTTCAAGACTTATTTATTTATTATGTATGTCGGCATGTAACCCTGCAGGCCAGAAGAGGGCACCATATCTCATTACAGATGGTTGTGAGCCACCATGTGGTTGCTGGGAATTGAACTCAGGACCTCTGGAAGAGCAGTCAGTGCTGTTAACCTCTAAGCCATCTCTCCAGCCCCTGAAGTATATTATTTTTCAATATATTTTATTTATTTATTGTGTGTATATGTGTTTACCTGTGTGGGTATACATATGACATGGCACTTATGTAGAGGTCAAAGGCAACATGTGGGAAAGTTGTTTCTTTCTTTGTACTATGTATGGTCAAGAGATCAAACTTTATGTCATTATGTCTTTGGGCTTGGCATCAAGTTTCAAAATATGTTATTTAGATCTCTTTCATTTTTTAGGATTTTTAAAAAAATTTTGTGTATATAAACCATTTGTGTTTTGGTACCTGTGGAGGCCAGAAGGTGGTATAACATCCCCTGAAGCTGGAGTCACAAGCAATGGTGAGCCACCTAACATGGGTGCTGAGAATGAAACTCAGGTCCTTGGGCAGAACAAGAGTTCTTAACCTCTGAGCCATCTCTCCAGCCTGTTTGGGGCTCATCTAGTCCAGCTTAATCTCCATCTTTCTGTATAACCAAAGATAGTTTTCAAATCCTGATCCTCCCGCCTGCACTTCTCAGATTTTATGATTACATGATGATGCCTGGCTCATCAATTTTTATTATTTTTTTGTTTGTTTGCTTTTTGGTATTTTGAGATAGGTTTTCTCTGTGTAGCTTTGGAGCCTGTCCTGGCTGTCTCTGTAGACCAGGCTAGCCTCAAACTCAGATACTTGCCTGTCTCTGCCTCCTGGGATTAAAGGTGTGCACTATCATTGCCTGGCTTTTTTTTTTTTTAACTATATTTATTTATCTATTTACTTATGTGTTTGTATGTCTGTGTAGGGTACATTCACACCACAGTGTACACATGGAGGTAATAGGACAACCCTCAGCAGTCACTTCTCCAGTTTTACCATATGGGGCCCAGAGACTGAACTCAGGTTATCATGGTTGGTGGGAGGCATCTCCACCCACCAAATCATCTCACTGCCTCTGATCTAATTTTTGAGACAGGGTTCTTATATATAGGCTAGGCTGGCCTAGAACTTGCTAGATAGCCTAGATTGGTCTCAAGCTTGTGAATCTCTGTCTTACAGTGCAAATAGAAATGCACCAGTACACCTGGCTTAGATCTAACTCAGCCAGGTATTTCTTTTGGCCTATGGATACAATTTTTTAATTATATATATTTTTATAAAGATTTATTTATTTATCATGTCTGCCTGCAGGCCAGAAGAGGACACCAGATCCCATTACAGATGGTTGTGAGCCACCATGTGGTTGCTGGGAATTGAACTCAGGACCTCTGGAAGAACAGTCAGTGCTCTTAACCCCTGAGCCATCTCTCCAGTCCTTTAAATTATATTTTAAAACTAAAAAAAATTAAATTTTTTAAAATTTAAGTTAGAAATACAAAGGCTTGCCAAGCATGTAAAGTGGAACCCTTGTGAATTGTTGATGGAAATACACAATGGTGCTGCTGCAGTGGTGGTTCCTAAAATTTAAACACAGAGTCATCAAGTGACCCAGCAATCTTCTGCTTACATAGCCAAAAGAACTCAAAGTAGGAACTTGAACAGATCTACCTTTTTTCCCATGTTGATGACAACATCAGTCACAAAAGCCAAAAAGTGGCAGCAGGCTCAAGTGTTCACAGAAAGATAGGTAAATGAAATGTGGTCATAAAAAATACTAGAACCCTGAAAAAGGAAGTTCTGATGCATGCTATAATATGGACAGTGCTTGAAGACTTTATGCTAGATAAAATAAGCCACTTACAAAAGCACAAGTATTATGTAATTCTGCTTATGAGGTGCCTAGAGTACCTGTATTTATTTACTTTCAATTTATTCATCCTCTATGTCTTTCACATCATGCATCTCCATCCTAAGTACTTGTATTTATAAATAAAGAATATAGAGGCTGGGTGTGACGGCACAGTTCTGTAATCCCAGCCCCTAGGCCTAGGCTAGCTAGTGAGACTGAGGTCAGCCTACGCCACACAGGCCCTGTTTCAACAACAACAAAAGAAAGTAAAATGGTGGTTGCCAGATGGTGAGGAAGACACCCAGGGCAAGGAAGATGACAGAAATCAGTGGTTCCAAAGTCTGAGAAAATGGCAAAGTTATGAAGATGGCTAATGAATGGTGAGGTTTGCAGAACAATTCTAATATGTTTAGGGCCACAGAATATCTTAGAAATGGTTCAAATGGTAATCTTTATGCATATCTTACCATAGTAACGTCTTCTTACTAACATGATATATAAGAAATTCAGTGTTGGCTGGGCAGTGGTGGTGCACACCTTTAGTCCCAGTACTCAGGAGGCAGAGGCAGGAGGATCTCTGTGAGTTCGAGACCAGTCTGGTCTATAAGAGCTAGTTCCGGGATAGGCTCCAAAGCCACAGAGAAACCCTGTCTCGAAACGCACCCCCCCAAAGAAAACAAAATTAAACACCTCAGTGTCAATCAGATGACACATGCCTACAGTCCCAGCTTTTGAGAGGTAGAGGCAGAAAGGTGGCAGTAGGTTTTAGGCCAGTCTAGGCTACCAAGTGAGTTCTAGGTCATTCAGCACTACTTCGGAGAGACCCTGTCTCTAAATCAAAACAAAACAGAAGACAAAGAAATTTCATATTCACAGAAAGTTTGATGTCTCCTGGTAACTAGTATTTATAAAGGTAAAACTTTACCTCTTATTTCCAATCAGCATTATAACCATGTTTGAGCTCGAGTGCTGGCGGGCATCCTCTAACCATGAGGTCAGGTGGTTGAAGGTTTCACGTCTATAGCAGAACATGGAATGGTGGTCAGGAGCCTGTTTCAGTAATCAAAGTTACTCCAAATACATGAAAAGGGACATTACATGTGTGCAAAAACACAGCCATCCCTACTCAGAGTCCTTGGCAGAGCCGTAGATAATGGATAGCTTTAGGGAGTCAGGTAGCCCACCCCCCCCACTCCAGCCGCTCACTCACCTTGTGATGTCGTACACCAGCAGTGCTCCAGCTGCTCCCCTGTAGTAGGAACGGGTGATAGAACGGAAGGACTCTTGCCCAGCCTTTACCATCAACATGGCAACAAAAAATCCCAGTAAAACTAAGTTATTTCCAGAGAAAGTGAATTGCTCACATGCCACCCTAAAACAAAATTTAACTAAAGAAAGAACTTGTACTAGATTAAGAAGTAATAATAAATCAGGGAAAAGAATTGTCCCTATCTAGGGAAGAGCCCAAGTGGGCTATTTTTCAATAAATATGTGACTGAGATTTTGGGTAGGCCAATTACTACTCCTTATGAGACTGTCCATCAAACTACAAGATATTCTTTTTCTTTATTTTTTCCCTAAGATAGGGTTTCTCTGTGTAACAGCCCTAGCTGTCCTGGAACTAGCTCTTGTAGAGCAGGCGGGTCTCAAACTCACAGAGATCCACCTGCCTCTGCCTCCCAAGTGCTGGGACTAAAGGTGTGTGCCACCACCGCCCAGCTAAACTATAAGATATTCTTATCCTTAGGTCCAGACACTCAGTGCCAAAAGCATGACACCAACAACCTTCATATGTTTCCCATTATCCCCTAGAGTAAAACTGGAAATGAGGCTGAAACTCAATCCCAAATATGACATTGAATACATTATATTGCTTTTTCTATTCTCATTCATGTATCTGTAAAAAAGGAAAATTATCTTAGAATGCCAATATTTTGTCCAGTGGAAGGCATATTCCAATGCAACAATGCAGAAAATCAGATATGGGCAACTGAGTTTATGCTATGTAACCCTTGGGTTTCTCTAATACCAGCAAGACTATCTGGAAGTTCACTGCTAAGATCCTGTGGTAGAAAATAGGAATAAGGAATAGGGAATGAGCTGGGTAGTGGTGGCGCACACCTTTAGTCCCAGCATTCCGGAGGCAGAGGCAAGTAGATCTCTGTAGTTCGAGACTAGCCTGGTCTACAACAGCTAGTCCCAGGACAGGCTCCAAAGCTACACAGAGAAACCCTGTCTCGAAAACCAAAAACCAAAAAAAAACAAAAAAGGAATAGGGAATGATGTCCAGGATCTAGGTAGTTTTCTTTAAAAGAATCTTGTTCAGCCAACTTCATGGTGGTGACACATGCCTTTAATTCCAGTACTTGGAGGCAGAAGCAGGTAGATCTCTGAGTTCAAGGCCAGCCTGGTCTACTGAGCAAGTTGCAGGACAGCCAGGACTGTTACACAAAGAAATCCTGCTTGAAAAACAAAAACAAAAAAACAAATAAAAAGGACCAAAATATTGCCTTATTTATAAATGAACAATTAATTCCTCCCATGCTCTAGATATTTCTGTTTTCTTAGCTTAATAGTTCCTTTATTTTATTTTTGTTTAAGGGAACCACAAGTGTCATTTAAATAAAAACACTGGGCTGGAGAGATGGTTCAGGGACTAAGAATGCTTACTGCTCTATCAGATGATGGTAGTTCAGACCCCAGACCCACACTGGGCAGCTCACAAACACCTGTAACTCCAGTTCCAAAGGATCCAATGCCCCTTTCTGGCTTGTGTGAGCACATAACACATACGTGCGCGCACACACACATCAATAGAAATAGCCTGGTAGCTGGTGCCTGCTTCTAACACTAATACTCATCCTGCATCTGAGGACTAAGGACACTGAAGCAAAAGAACTGAGTTTGAGGGCAGATTCTGCTACATAGTAAGACCCTGTCTCAAAAACACAACAACCCCCGGGTGTTGGTGGTGCACACCTTTAATCCCAGCACTTGGGAGGCAGAGGCAGGCGGATCTCTGTGAGTTGGACACCAGCCTGGTCTACAAGAGCTAGTTCCAGGACAGCCTCAAAACCTGTCTTGAAAAAAAACAAACAAAAAACAAACAAAAAACAAAAAAAACAAACCAACCTACCACACAAAATACTTTGTGTGAAACAATCCTGTTAGGAAAGTTTTCACATTTTTGGAATAATTTCTCCTCATAAAATTCGGGAAATGAAAGTTATTATCCATATTCTATCACTAGAAATCTATGGTGGAAATGTGAACATAAATGGGTTTTTATAGTATGCAACCAGCTGGTAATAGTACTGATACTAAAATAACATTAAAATTTTTCTTCAAAATTTATTTAATTTTATGTGTATAAGTGTCTTGCCTGCATGTATGTTTGTATGTACACCATGTACATGTCTGGTACCTATGGTGGTCAGAAGAAGGTACTGGAACCTCTGGAACTTAAGCAATGGATTGTTGTGAGCTACCATATGGGTCCTGGGAACTGAAACCAGATCCCCTGCAAGAGCATCAAGTGCTCCTAACCTCTGAGCCATCTCTCCAGCCCCATCATAATATTTAAATTTTTTTTTTGCCTAGCAGTGTATTAAGAACCACATATATCATCCCATATAATTCTCCTTTGAAAAATGGGGAAAATAAGTAAAAGAACTGGCCAAAGCCCACACAGCATAGCTGTAATATGACACAAAGCAGTGGCACTCCATAGCACAGAAGCATTACAATCTAAGTTGGGGTACAAATGTGAGAGGAGGGTCTGCTAACTTATAGTGATTGTCTCCCCAGATACACAGCCTCTGGAAGCATCATACAATTCCTTAGTCTTTTACTGGTAATTCTGGAAACACCTTTAAGATCTGAAAAAAAAAAAAACACTTTTGTCCACTAAAGCTCTGTAGAATTTTACATTTACTCTGTCATAGTATACCCTAGCTCTTTTGGGGTCCTGTTTTACTCTTATTTCTTACTTTTTTTTTTTTTAATTTTGGTTTTTCAAGACAGCCTACAGATCAGGATGTAAAACTCTCAGCTAGTGCTCCAGTGCCTTGCCTGTCTGCTCCCTGCTATGATGATCACTGAACAAACCTCCACAAATGTGAGCAGGCCCCCAATTAAATGCTTTCTTTGTAAGAACTGCCTTGGTCGCTAGGCAGTGGTGGTGCACACCTTTAATCCCAGCACTCAGGAGGCAGAGGCAGGCGGATCTCTGTGAGTTCGAGACCAGCCTGGTCTATAAGAGCTAGTTCCAGGACAGCCTCCAAAGCCACAGAGAAACCCTGTCTCAAAAAACCAAAAAACCAAAAAAAAAAAACCAACAAAAAAAACCTGCCTTGGTCATGATGTCTTCTCACAGCAACAGAACAGAGAGTAAGACAAACAGGTGTAGGCAGCCATCACGTCAAGTGAGACATGGGTCTCTGATGAAGAGAATTTACAGCTTTTTAATTTCCCCTAAGTGACAGTAAGGCACATAGTTTGAAGTATCAGCTGTAAGTCGGATACTGGCTGGTGGTGGTTGCTGTTTTGTTGGTGGTGGGGTTTTCTGTTTGCTTGTTTTTTTTTTTTTTTTTGTCTCACTGTGTTGGCTAGCCTGGAACTCTATGTGGCTGACCTTGAATTTTCAGGGACCCACCTACCTCCTGAGTGCTGAGATGGCATGCTTCACCATGCCAACCTTTCCATGCAGTTCTTTTATTTTTAATTCTTTTTTTTTTAAAGATTTTATTTATTTATTATGTATACAACATTCTGCTTCCATGTATATCTGCACACCAGAAGAGGGCACCAGATCTCATAACGGATGGTTGTGAGCCATCATGTGGTTGCTGGGAATTGAACTCAGGACCTCTGGAATAACAGTCAGTGCTCTTAACCTCTGAGCCATCTCTCCAGTCCCTATTTTTAATTCTTAATGATTTATTTCTTTTTATTTTATGCACATTGATGTTTTGCCTGCATAGATGTCTGTTTGAGCATGCCAGATCCCCTGGAACTAGAGTTACAGACAGTTGTGAGCTGCCATGTGAGTGTCAGAAATTAAACCCATGTCCTTTGGAAGAGCAGTCAGTGCTATTAACCACTGAGCCATCTCTCCAGCCCTGCCATATAGTTCTTAAAGATCCTATCCACATAAAATACAATTGTGGCGCTAAACGTTCTTTCATGACCAAACCATTTCTCATGATAGCACTTAAGGAAAAAAAAAAAGCCCATTCAGGAGGCAGTAGCAGGTGGTTCTACATGAGTTCGAGGACAGCCAGTATTATAGAGAGAAACCCTGTCTCAAAAAAAAAGGGGGAGGGGGGGAACTGGAGAAATGGCTCAGGGTTAAGAGCACTGACTGCTCTTCCAGAGGACCTGGGTTCAATTCCCAGCAACCACATGTCAGCTCCCAACTGTCTGTAATTCCAGTTCCAGGGAATCAGTCACCCATAGTCAAAGCGCCAATGCATATAAAATAAAGATTAAAAAAAAAAAAAAAAGCCAGCAAGCAAGCACATGGCCCTGACCATACTAACTGGCATCTACTAGATTTTATTCTTGGCACTAAAATATCTATTTTTCTTAAATACAGATATGGTGGCACACACCTGTTGTCCCAACATTTGGGACTGGAAGTGGGAAGATAAGGAGTTCAAGGTTACCCTTAGCCACATAGCTACCTGGCTATCTGAGGTCCTGTCTTTAAAAAGAAAAAAATTAAATGACATTAACTTAACTCAAAGGAGTAGGAGATAACTTATACTGGTCTTTATACCCACTGGCTTCACCCTTTGCTAGTTTGTAAGAATTTATATCTTGACCTCTTGCGGGGTAGGGTTCCCATTATAAAAGATAATAAAACCTGAATTGCAATATCTAGTTGGGGGTAAATAATGGCAATGAACTTAAGACAGGGAAAGAAGGGAATCTGTGGCAACTGACTAAAATGGAGATTGAACCTTGACAATAAAGTAATATTTCTTAGGGTTTATGGAGGTAGAGTGTTAAAAACAAAAACCGGCCAAATGAGGCAAGTCTTAAAATTATAGCTGTCTGGAGTTAAGCACTGTTAAAAGATATGAAGTAATTGATTCATAATGTTATAATTAGGGCAACCCCAAAGGGTGAGATGAAAAATCTGATCAGAAGGAAATACAACCTCTAATCAAACGAAACAGCCAACAGACATAAAGAATACTAAGTTTAAAGCACCTGATTAATAATACATCCAAAAGTGACAATAAATTTGAAGACTACCAAAAGGGGCTCTGCCAAAAATGGCCCACAACAGCTGTGTGTGATCAATGTTGATGGGAGTTGGAACAGAGAAGAAAGAAAATAAGATAGAAGAAAAAGAGAAAAAGAAAAATAGCTTGTACATGCCATTGCACAACTTCATTGAACATTCTTATTATAATTCTATGCAGACATTTGAGAATTTCTGTGGGCACTCTTCCCAGACATAAAAATTCTAGGGCAAAATTGATTGCATTTTAATTAATTAACTAATTAATTTTATGGGTTTTTTTGTTGTTTGTTTTTTGAGATTTGTTTGTATTTTAAAATTTAGTCAGTGAAATAATATCAAAGTTTGGCTTGGCTTAACAGAATTTTGCCTAACCTAGAGAAATTGCTTTTGTGTGCAATATTTCATTTATGCTATTCTTTCCTTAAGGAAAATACTGCAGTCTCTATCCTAGTTAAAAAGAATTAGAAAATAGTTCATAATATTTAGCTAAAATCTCTTCCTGTTTTTGCTTCGTTATTATTATTTGACCATTTTTTCCCTCAGAACTAAGAGCCAAAACCATCATATGTGCAATGGTTGAAATCAACCTAAATGTCTGTCAATGCATACATACTTCTGTGACTAGGCAGCTGTTACAAGAAGTGAGACAGATCTGTATTTACTGATACTGAAAAGTCTAGGAAACATGGATTCTGCTTGTCTCTGCATCCCAAGTGCTGGGATTAAAGGTGTGCAAAATGTCTATTATTCATGAATTGAAATACACAGGTGTCTGAAAGCATATACACTGAATCATTAACAGTGGATCTCTGGCAGAATAGCAACAGTGTGAGATAGAAAGGAGTCTTATGTAAAGGGATATTCACTTTTTGTTACATAAACTTTTACTGTATTAGTTGAGTCTCTTTGGGGGGGGGGTAGGTTTAAAGTCAAGGCTTTTCTGTGTAGCCCTGGCTGTCCTCAAACTCACAGAGACCCACCTGCCTCTGCCTCCTGAGTGCTGGGATTAAAGGTGTGCACCACCACTGCCCCACAAAATTGAGTCATTTAAAATAAAAAAAAATATGACTTTTATTTTTTTGACTTGAGTATACTGGCTTAACCTTTCAGCTTTTTGCCTCATCCTAGAGGTGTATAGCACCACACATGGCTACATTAGCTTTTATTGTTATTTTGTCCTCTCTTACCGTATCCCAGATTTGCAGTTTGATTTGTTTTCCGTCAATGTTGACCATACGGGCTCCAAACTCCACACCTGTCAGGGAAGGCCAAGAGAATGAATACGACTGTCATGAACACATACATGATAATCCAGAGGCTCACACTTTCCCCTTCCCCCAAAGGGTTACAATGATTCCTTTGTCTTCCCACACTGACATTCAGCTCATTACAACTACTTACTGCTCAATTAAGATTGTGTTCCTTTTGGTTTCTTTTCTAGAATTAAAAATCCATGGACACTGTGGGATGCAGCTCACTTGATAAAGTATTTGGCTAGCATGTCCCTGGATTCAATCCCTAGAACCAAATAAAATTGAGCACGGGGTTGGAGAGATGGCTCAGTAGTAAAAGCAAAGCACGTGCTGCTCTTGTAGAGGAACAGAATTTGGTTTTCAACACCCTCATCAGATAGCTTAGAACTTCCCTTAGCTCCAGCTCCAAGGGATTCCTTTCCTAGACTCCATGGGGACCTCTGCCCACACACACACACACACACACACACACACACACACACACACACCAAAACCCCTTAACTGGGCATGGCAATACATGCCTGAGATCCCAGCTCTCAGGAGGTGGAGGCAGTAGGAGAACCAGGATCAGAAGTTCAAAGTCACCATCACTTGCATAATAAACTCAAGGTTGGCCTGAGGCTGCACAGGTTTTAAAAAAAATCACTTTCTACAGCTGTGTGTATAATTCAGTGGTAGTGCAATTGCAAAAGATGTAAGTCTCTTGGTTTAATCCCTAGCACCCAAAATAAGTAAGTGGATTCTAAGTGATAATATACCCAAATGTAGATAAGGGAATAAAATATTCTCACTGTTCTGATTTTACAATCAGGGCAAAATTTACTGTGTTAACACCCTAGTGAGGAGGGCAGAGCCAGAGAGATGGTTCAGTGGTTAAGACCATTGGTTGTTCTTCCAGAGATCTGGAGTTCAATTCCCAGAAACCACATGGTGGCTCACCACCATCTATAATGAGATCTGGTACCCTCTTCTGGTGTGCAGGCAGAACACTGTATAATTGTAAATAAGTAAATCTTAAAAAAAAATCAATGCATATAAAATAAATAAATAAATCTTAAAAAACAAAAAACAAAAAACCCTAGGGGGCTAGAGAGATGGCTCAGTGGTTAAGAACACTGACTGCTCTTAGAGAGAACCAGAGTTTGGCTCTCAACTACTTGTAACTCCAGCTCCAGGGAACTCAACAATTTCTGGACCCTGCAGATACATGTGCAAATAGATATAGATATACATTCAAATAAAAATAAATCTGAGGGGGGATGGAAAAGACCATGTGTGTGTCCCCAAGGCTAGTTCTTTCCCTAGGTCTTGTTTTACAAATTCTGGTAATAAACTAACACAATCAGTTGATTTATTATAAGGCCTTATAATAATGACTAAGATTCTAGATTATCTTTATGAGCCTTAAGAAAAGCGACAGATGTTGGGCAGAGGTGGTGGTGCACATCTTTAATCCTATCACTTGGGAAGCAGATACAGGCAGATCTTAGTGAGTTCTAGGCCAGCCTGATCTACAAAGTGAGTTCCAGGACAGCCAAGACTGTTGCACAGAGAAACCCTGTTTCAAAAAACCAACCAACAAACCAAACAAACAAAAAACCAAAACCTAAACCCAGAGCAGTTACTATAACAATTTGCAAATAATGTCTGCAGAACCTGTATCCACTACAAAGTAAGTTCCAGGACATCAAAGTTACACAGAAAAACCCTGTCTCAATGAAAAACAAGAGAGAATGTACAGCCACTGTAGGGAAATTTTTGTGATAAATAGTTTCCATTAAATGAATTATAAAGCTACAATTCATAGAAAAAAATTGAGAAAATTTGCAATTATAGGAAAAATAAAACTAAAAAATAGATAATTAATTTTTTCTTTTCAGATTCATTTATTTGAGGCTGGAGAGACAGCTCAGCAGTCAAGAGCATAGGCTGGTCCTGTAGGAGCCTGGGGTTCAATTCCCGGGATCCACATGCAGCTCACAACTGTCTGTAACTCCAGTTCAGGAGATCTGACACCATCACAGAGACATGTATGTGGGCAAAACACCAACACACATAAAAAATCTTTGAAACAAAGATCTATTTGTTATGTATGCAGTGTTTTGCCTGCATGTATGCTTGCACACCAGAAGAGGGCACCAGATCTCATTATAGATGTTTGCACCCCCAAGAGGTAGATAAATTTTTAGAAATGTTATACTGAAATCTGACTATGTAATATTTAATTCAAAGGACTTCTAAACTGTTTGAAAGTTATTTTCTAGCTGGGCTTTGGTGGCACACGCCTTTAATTCCAGCACCTGGGAGTCAGAGGCAGGCGAATCTCTGTGAGTTCCAGGCTAGCCTGGTCTACAGAGTGAGTGCCAGGACAGCCTCCAAAGCAATACAGAGAAACCCTGCTGGAAAAAACAAAAAGTACTTCCTTTATTTTTAAGATTTATTTATTATATGCAGTGTTCTGCCTGCATGTATGTCTGTGCACCAGATCTCATTATGGATGCTTGTGAGCCACCATGTGGTTCCTGGGAATTGAACTCAGGATGTCTAGAAGAGCAGACAGTGCTCTTAACCTCTTTGCCATCTCTCCAGCCCAGTATTTCCTTCTTTCTTTTTTAGGCTTTTAAAGTTTTATGCATGTAAGTGTCTGCCTGCATGTAAGTATGTGTGCTACATGTGTGCCTGTTACACCTCCATGTGGAGGTCAGAAGAGGACAACAGATCCTTCTGCAACTGGAGTGACAGAGATTATGAGCTGCCATTCAGGTGCTGGCAATTGAACCTGGCAAGAGCAGCCAGTGCCCTTAGCCAGGGCTAAGTCATCTCTCCAGCCCCCTTGAAAGACTTTCTTGGCAGTGTCTCAGAATACCCACTAGTTCTATGTATGAAGCAGGACTTCTTTACTATAATTCTGAAATTATTTTCATTTGCAATTAAGAAAGTTGCCGGAGGCAGGCGGATCTGTGAGTTCAAGGCCAGTCTGGTCTACAGAGCAAGTTCTGGGACCACAAGGCTGTCTTGAAAAGCCACAGAAAGAAAGAAGGAAAGAAAGAAAGGAAGGAAGGAAGGAAGGATTATTAACCAGAAATAGCCTATCTCAAAGCAGTTTGGAAACTGGCAAACTGATAAGGCTTTTGACATTCTTCTATTTCAAGGTAAAATTCACCTCAATATTTCAAAAACAGTCCTGTTAAAAACATTGCATCATAAGTCAGACAATTCCTCCCCTTTTCTATTTTCATACAGTATTTTGCACATAGCACAAGGAATTCAGATTTTCAAGATTACTAATCTAGTTTACCTTCAGGAATGCTATAATACCAATTCAGTCATCCTATGTAGATATCCTTTCCCTATATAGAATATTTCTACTTTAAGGTGCTATAATCTATAAGAAAGATATAGAAATCGCTTCTGGCTATTACCTCAATAAAAATCAAAAGTTACTTTTTGAAAAAACATCAGTCAATTTTTCTTTCTTTCAGAAAAGTTAAGAATGTAATTTCGGGGGCTGGAGAGATGTCTCAGAAGTTAGGAGCACTGGCTCTTCCAGAGGACCTGGATTCAATTCCCAGCACCCATATGGCAGCTCCCAACTGTCTGTGACTACAGTTCCAAGGAATCTAGCACCCTCAAACAGAAGGTAAAACACCAATTCATATAAAATAGAAATAAATTATTTTTAAAAAGAATGTAATTTTAATGAGTAAGAAACTAAAACACTGGGGCTGGAGAGGTGGCTCCAAAGTTAAGAGCACTTCACTGCTCTTCCCGATGCCCTGAGTTCAATTCCCAGCACCCTCTTCTGGTGTGCATGAAGACAGAGCACTCATATTCATAAAACACACACACAAATAAATAAATAAACTAAAACAACAACAAAAACCAAACAAACAAAACAGGCTGAGCACATCTAATCCCAGCATTTATGAGATGGAGGCAGTAAGATCAAGGCCTGTTCAAGGTCATCTTCAGATTACTCATGGAGTACAAAGCCAGTCTTCAAAAAACAAAAACAAAAACTTATTAAGCCTGTGATGGTGCATGCCCCTAATCACAGCACTTGGAGGCTGAGGCAGAAGGATATCTGGGAATTCATGGCCAGTGTGGAATACAGAGTGAATCTGAGGCTAGCCTGGACTACATAGCCAGAACTTGTCTCAAAAAAGAGGAGGAAGGACTGAGATGACTCTTAAATTGGCTTTATCCTCTCCAACACAAAAAGAATCGATGTCGGAGTTTACTTCGAAAAACATGTGAGGTTGGTAGTTAACCACAAACTACAGATGAGTTTCTGAATAAGCAGTTGTGTTTTCGTGGGATTTTTTTTTTTTTTTTGCAGAAACATACAAGTTGCATTTAAAGAAAAATTCCTATGACAACTAGTGTTTATCTCACATCCCTCTCTAACGTTACCTTTCCATTATTTACCCTCTATTTACCGGCTTCTATCATTTTTCATATGGCACGGCTTAGGTCTAAGGCGGGGAGGCGCAACTTTTTCCTTAGAATACTGAGACTGTTAACTTTCTCCTTCAGCAGTTCAGCCAGCCAGCTTTTATCTATCTGTTCTGGAACGAGGGGATACGCTTACCTATTGTGAGGTCGTGCACAGGCTGGAACCGCTTATCGGTGAACTGCAGGAGGAGACATGACTTCCCCACACCTGAAAACAGACAGTGCGGAGTAGGCACGCCACCCGGGAAACCGCGGGCTCCCAGGCGGGGCACAGGGTCTAAGGAAAAGACGGTCCACCTGCGGGTTACCTGTGTCTCCGATGATGATGTACTTGAAGAGATAAGCGTAAGTCATGGTCCCGAGGCGTCTGTGTTCCGGTCCGCCTGATTTCTACAGCCACTTACCTCCGTCCTCTCTAGCCACTCACTCTACCGATCTCCTTATTTGCCTCCGCTCCAGCCCTTCTAGCTCAGGCCGCGTCTCTATTGCTCTCCCCAGAAATCCTCCCTGGATCCGGAGTACCCGACGCCGCCTCTAGGGCCGCCCCGCGCTCTTCTACATGCCATTATCCCACCAAGCTCCAGGGGGCGACAGCGAGCCTTCGGGCAGCTCGAATCGCGACTGGTTCGGCCAGGACTCCGTCCAATCAGCGGAGAGCGACGCTCCTCTTTGAGGAAGTGACGCGTTCGGAACCCAGTGGGTCCGGTGGGAGCGATGCGGACACTGGGACGCTGGTAGTGGTGCTGTGAAGATGGAGGTACGCGCGGGGGGTCTGGAGGGTTGACGAGCAGCGCGGCCGACTAGATGGAAGCAGAAGCGGGAAGCCGGACAGCGGGGAGCGAGGGGTGCTCGGGAGGGCTGGGAGGCCCGGGGTCCCCGCGCGCCCCTGCTTCGCTCACTTATCCCCGTGGCTTTTTATTTATTTATTTGTTTTTGGTTTACAGTTTCCCGGAGGAAATGACAATTACCTGACCATCACTGGGCCCTCGCATCCTTTCCTGTCAGGGGCCGAGGTGAGCAAAAGCTGCCGACGCTGGGGCGCGGGAGGGCCTAGGCAGCGGTTGGGGCCGGACGGTGGGGGAGAGCGCGGGGGCGGACGGGAGCTGGGGAGGACAGTGGCCGAGGCTTCGAGAGCCTCTGAGGACTCTGAGCGGTGCGGTGGGGGGACGAACGGGAAGCGTCTGTCATCAGAAAACCAGGATGTTGAAGAGCTTCACTGCCTGTTTAAGGAAGGAGTCCGGTTCTGAATGTGGAGAACGAGTGGGATTGTCTGCCCTGGTTCGGGTGAAGTAGTTGCAACAATCTTGGGAAGATAGCAAGGAAGAAATTTGTTTTTTTTTTTTTTTCAGTAAAGAAAACCTGATAAGAAAGTAGTTTATGTAGCAGGGGTTAACCTCGGACAGGTGTTAATTCTTGAACTCTGTAAGTGGTCTTTTAAACTTGAAATTTCTGATAAAAGTGGCTACTTTCACCAACGTGGTTTCTGCTCGCTTTGCTAATGAAGGATAGAAGGAAAGAAATAGCCGCCAGAGAACATAAAAAGAGTAGAGTATACCTTGTTTGCCAGTGAGTACAAACTTTGAGCAGATAACTTCACTTTTGGATCACAGTTGTCAAGTTAACTATAATAATAGGGTTTGTTTTGTTTTGCCTTTTTTTTTTTTCCTCCAAGCCAGGGTTTCCCTGTGTAGATTTGGTGCCAGTCCTAACACTCCCTCTGTAGACCAGGCAGGTCTTGAACTCTCAGAGATCCGCTTGCTTGTTTTGCTTTTTAAAGATGGTGTGAAGTAGAAATAATGATTGATGGAGACTGTAAGACAGCAATTCACAACCGGTGAGTCAGGACCCTTGGGGAGTCGAGTGACCCCTTCACAGGAGTTGCATGCCAGATATTTACATTGTGATTCATAACAGTTGCAAAATTACAGTGTGAAGTAGCAACAATATAATTTTATAGTTGGGGGGTCATCTCAACATGAGGAACTATATTAAAGGGTCACAGCATTTGGAAGGTATTCGTCATCTCTGGCAGTCTGCTAGTTTATTTTTTAATTTACAATTATTGAATGTTTTCCTAAACAAGGGAAAGTGTGATTCAAATGAATGGCAAAATTGGAAAGAAACTCAATCTTGAACTTGTTCCTTCCAAGTGAGGTTTAGTTTTATTGTTTGAAGTGCCATAAATCTCATTGTCATTATTCATAGGAAAATGCATTTAAAAAGCAAATACAAGCAATTACAAATGTAGTGTTACACACCTTTAATCCCAGCACTTGGGAGGCAGAGGCAGGTAGATCTCTTTTGAGTTTGAGGCCATCCTGGTCTACATAGTGAGTTCCAGAACTGCTAGAGCTACATAGAGAGATTCTGTCTCAAAAAAAAAAAAAAAAGTAAACACAGTTTTCAAATTCATCCCACCAGCCCTTTTTATGGAGTTGAATAGTCAAAAAGCAGTTACATGAGAGATGGCACCTTTTACATCCAGGGAGCTATGGCTGGATAGTGGAGCCTTCCACCTGCTGTGTTCCAGAACCTTGATCTACGGCACTGACCGAAAAAGGAAGGAAATTTCCAGGCTTTCATCAGCCCTTCATTTTTAGTGAGAGAAGGGGACGCACAACTAAATTTTTTTTTAAAGATTTATTTATTTATTTATTTATTTTATCTATTATGTATACAACATTCTGCTTCCATATATATCTGCACACCAGAAGAGGGCACCAGATCTCATTGTGAGCCACCATGTGGTTGCTGGGAATTGAACTCAGGACCTCTGGAAGAGCAGTTGATACTCTTAACCTCTGAGCCATCTCTCCAGCCCACACAACTAAATTTTAAGCTTAATTTCAGTAGCTTCCTTTAAGCCTAGGTACTGCTATTGGGTTTGTTTTTTTGTTTGTTTTGAGACAGGGTTTCTCTTTGTAGACCTGGCTGTCCTGGAACTCACTCTGTAGACCAGGTGAGCCTTGGACTCTTAGATCTGCCTGCCTCTGTCTTGAAAGTGCTGGGTTTAAAGACCAACACTGCCTGGCCTGTTAATTTACAACTCTTACTCCTTCTTATTTCTATCCCTCTTGTGGTGAATTTTTTTGTTTTGTTTTGTTTTTCGAGACAGGATTTCTCTGTGGCTTTGGGGGCTTGTCCTGGCCTACTAGCTTTTGTAGACCAGGCTACAGGAACTCACAGAGATCCACCTGCCTCTGCCTCCCGAGTGCTGGGACTAAAGGCATGTGCCACCACTGCCTGATAGTGGTGGTGAATTTTTAAATTATTTTGTTTTTGTTTTGAGGGGATGGTTTCACTATGTAGTCTTGACTTGAGTCAAACTCAATATGTGACCTGGCTGGCTTTTTATCTGCCTTTGCTTCCTGAATACTGGGATTAAAGGTGTCTTACACACCACCATGCCTGGCTTTTAATCTTTTTTTTTTTTTCTCAGAGTTTTTTTTTTTTTTTTTTTTTTTTTTTTGAATTAGAAACAAGATTGTTTTATATGGCAATCCCAGTTCCCTTCTCCCTCATCCTCCCTACCATGCTCCCCTCCCCAACTAAAACCCTACCTATCACATATCCTTTCTGCTCCTCCTGCATGGTGAGGCCTTCCATAGGGTGTCATCAGAGTTTATCGTATCCTTTGGGATAGGGCCTAGGCCCACCTGGCTTTTAATCTTTACATTAATGGGTGTAAAAGTTTTGTTGTCTTCGGTCTTACTTTGAGCCTTGTGAATAACTTAAAAGAGGGTGACTTTTTTTTTTTTTTTAAGCAATCCTTTTTTTGAAGAATGGTAGTTTTTCAAGTTGTTTTTTTCCAAAAAGAACAATAGCTGCTCATATAGGATACCAACCATAAAATAATTGAAAAATTCCATTGTGTTCAAGTTAGGAACTCTATATCAAAAGGCATCGTTATAGGGCTAGAGAGATGGATCAGCGGTTAAAGCACTGACTGTTGTTACAGAGTATCTGGATTCAGTTCCTAGCATCCACACGATAGGACAAAAAGGCCTGTAACTAGTTTTCACACCCTCTTCTGACCTCTGTAGGCACTGCACACATGCAGAACACAGGCATACATGCAGGCAAAACATTCATTTATATAAGTAAAAATAAGTATTGCTGCTTTTTTTTTTTTTTGATGGCATTGAGGCTAAAGATATTGCTGAGAAATTTAAAGCCTTTGTTGCTCTTACAGAGGACCCAGTTTTAATTTCCAGCATACACGTGGTGGTTCACAACCATCTATAACTTCAGTTCCAGGGGATTTGATTCTCTTTTCTAGCCTCTGTGAGCACTAGACACGAATATGGTGCTGATACATACCCATACATATAAACTAAATCAAAAGGAGTGATGGCAAAAGCCTTTAACTCCAGCACTTTTCAAGGCAGAAGCAGGCAGCTATCTGTGAATTCAAGGCCAGCCTGGTCTTCAAATTGAGTTCCAGGACAGCCAGGACTGTTATGCAGAGAAACTCTTGTCTTAGAACCTCCTCCCAAAAAAAGACATTATAACTACATGTATGAAATTTGTGTTTATAAATAAATTATAATTACATGTACAGAATTTCATATATGAAATTCTGAAAAAAATTAGAAAAGATATCATTAACAAATAGGAGCTCTAGAAGAGAAGATATTTATAATACTCACATGTAAGTCATATTTAGAATATATGAAGCACTAGTACAGTTTGAAAATGAACACGTTTGGTTTTTTTTTATAATCTATTTTTATTTCTTGTACATTGGTGTTTTACCTGAGTGTATGTCTGTGTGAGGGTGTCAGGTTCCCTGAAACTGGCGTTACAGCTGTGAGCTGAATTGAACCTAGGTCCTCTGGAAGAGCAGTCAGTGCTCTTAACTGCTGAACTATCTCTCAGTCCCGAAAATGAACAGAAATTTCAACAGTCAATTCACAAAGAGTCCATCCAAACTGCCACTAGGTATATGAAAATTTTCCATTTAAAAGAATGAGGAGTGTCAGCGGGGCCGTGGTGGCACATGCCTTTAATCCTAGCACTTGGGAGGCAGAGGCAGGTGGATCTTTGTGAGTTTGAGGCCAGCCTGGTCTTCACAGAGAGTTCCAGGACAGTCTCCAACCCTACAGAGAAACCCTGCCTTGAAAAACCAAAAAAAAAAAAAGTGTCAGAGAGAAAGGAGTAGTATTATTGCACTGCTTCAGATAGGAAGCTTGTGTATTTGCAGATTTAGTCTTCTGTTTCTCTCCGTTTGGTTGGCTCATAGTGCTTTGTATGTGACCACTACTTTTAATCCCAGAACTCAGGAGGTTGGGAGGGGGGCAGTTCTCTGCCTTCCAGGCCAGCTAGTCTATTTCTGTTATATCAGATTTTCTTTTCAGTTTCATTGTTGGCTCTTATGAGATAGGGTCTCATCTAGCCAAGGCTGGCCTCCAATTCCCCATGTAGCTGAAGGTGATGCTGACTTTCCTAACCCTTTGGTTTCTACCTTCCAGTTCAGTGGTTCTTTAACCTGTGGGTCTCAACCCC